ATTGCACAAAATTGGTATAGGTCAACTTTTAAAAAATAAGAAGTTCAGCACTTATTTTGGCCTATTAAGTAACTTGCCAGGTGAACAGGGAGAAGTAAAGTATACTGTGTGTATTTTGGTCTATTTAGTTGTTGCTAAGAGTTAGCAAAGACCTCAAGGCAAAGAGGTTTAATTAAAGAAATAAATGGGCAGGAATCTGCCTGCACAATTTAAGATTATATGACCATCTATGAAGTTAGGATTCCCTTACATCAATTAAATAAAGCATACGGAATCTATATTAAACAACGTTCTTGATGTGTTCCCAAGAGTGCTGACATAAGCTCTATGAATACGTGCCTTCTGGTAATGTTCAGTCCTCTTCATTTTCCCCTTCTTTTTAGAGCATGGGTGTGTTAGGCTTTGAGGATAGAAGGATGAAAAAGATACAGAGCATGGCTTAAGAAAAGCCGGATGAATAGGGGAGAAGTAGTTAAAAACACATGGTACATACTGGAATGGCAGGAGGTACATAAACAGCAGAAAGGAAGGAAGAAAGGGAAGGAGAGAGGGAGGGAGGGTGGGAGGGAGGCAGGACCCCTAGCACCTCCCTCAATGGCTCTCCAGGATGGAAGGTAGAGAGGGTGGATTTGTAGAGGAAATCTTTACATGATTGGGCTTCTGAAGGGTCAGTGGGCATCCATCCACCAGGTGAAGAAGGCAGGAAGGGTGTTCAAGGCCAAGGAGATAACAAGTGCCAAGCATACGTGTTTAGAGAAGTCCAGCACATTTGGTATTCCTGCACTAAGAAATCCAAAGAGGAAAATTATATTTATACTGGAGACACGAGGCAAGGCTCACATCATGAAGTCTTTTACGTGCTGTGATTAGGAAATGGAGTTCCTTGTTATTGGTGAACCATTAAAAGGTTTGAAGTAGGGGACTCATTTGGTTCACTTGCGTTTTACAAAGATCTATCTGGATGTTATATGGCAGATAGATAAATGGAAAGAAATGAGGTGGAGCTGGTTAGGAAGGTGTGGCATTAGCCCATATCAAGAGTGATCTTGAAGGTCTGGACCCGGGGGTGGGAGGATGGAGACGCTGGGGTAGATTTGGCAGAGATTAAGGACATAAAATCAACAGAACCCAAAAGTATTATGGTGATTGAAAAAGTGAAAGTCTAGGGCAACTCAAGTTTTAGCATGAGTGACTTGGTGAATGGTGGGACCCGTGAGATAACCAACACCAGGTGGGGAGTTGGGTGTGGGGTTGTGGGTGAATCTGGAGTACAGTTTTGAACAGATGTCATGATTCACATTAAGAGATATGGCTGAGCTTAGAAGCAAATAAGAAGTTGTATTTTAGAAATGGGGAGGATGGGATATCTATGAATCACTGAATAGAGATCTTCACCAGGCAGGAGATTTATATGATTGGAGTTTAGAACAATGGGACAGAGCTGTATTCATAAATGTTAGGACTCACGGGTGTCTAGAGGTCATCACGAGAGCTACAGGTAAGTTTATTGGAGAGTTGGAAGAAGAAGGGGTGGAGGGCGGAATTTTGAGAACTCATATTATTTATGGGGTGGACAGAGAAAGAAGTGATGGGAATGACCAAAGAGAGAAGAGCGAGATCATATGATGCCAGTGTGTTCATTCATCTGCCCACCCATCACACACCCACCCACCCACCCACCTGTTTAGACAGCAGAGATTCATCAGTGAGAACTTAAGACATGCCTGGGAAAGGGACTAGGACGGGTATTGATGAATCACAGAGATGAAAAGGGTGTCATTTTTTACTCAAGCTCCCAATCTAGTCAGGATACAGAAGCAGGGAAGAAATGAGGGTTGTTAAATCATATTCATTAGAAAGCGTGAGGAAGGATAAGAAGAAGGAAAAGTAAGAGGGAAAGACAAGATCAATTTTGTTCAGCTTCACTCATTTTAACTTTCATCCCTGATCACAGTGCTCATACTGCATGTCCTAGAGGATTTTGATATCTACATCATATTTCAAGAGAAGCCTACCTCAAAAATTGCTTTTGACATGAAAAGCCAGGAAATGTTATCTGATATGAAAGTAGAGGTGCTCTACCACTTTTCTGTATCATTACATAGAAAAGGGAAATAGTAGTATCAGTCGTTTGAAATTTTAATGAAGAGTAGAATGAACAAAAGTGGACATGTTTTAATTGTTTTAAGTGTAATTTCTGCTGGAGTCAAGATGACTGGACTTTATAGCCATCTAAGGACACTTTTAGTGCTGACACTTCCAGTGCTTAAGCAGCTCAGTTATGCCTTTTCAGAAATATACTTACTTCACCATCAACTGGAAAGCCAGTCTCTAAAAATGTTGTAATACATGGTGGAGGAATTATTCATAGATCTTCTTTCAAATACTTTCCATATATGCCCTATAATGGAGTTAGTCTTCCTTGAAGGATCTTAAACTGCAGACAGAACTCCTGCTATGAAATCAGCTTCCATAGAATGATCAATCCTAATAAAACTCACTGAAATAGTGTAGACATTTCCCAAACCAGCACAGAATTAAGTTTCATGAGATTGTTTTAGAGATGCAAATGCCTATACTTACAGAAACAGAGCATTGCAGAGAGAAAGACACTGAGAAGGGCTTAGACCAGCCTACCAGTACCATTTTTTCCCTCTGTGCCCCCAGCCAATAATCAGCTCATTAACCATTTGTTTCTAAGACATTTCCAGTGGAGGCAATTCTGAATCAGCTGTGGTGTTCAGTGGGACTTATTTCTAAAATCCTGTGGGTGGCAAAAGGACTTCCCTCTGAACTGTTTGGCCCACCAACCCTCCAACTTGCATGTCCTCTCTGCTTTCCTGTTTTATATACAGTAATAACCTTTATTCACTGTGGTAGGCTATCACATTGACTTCGTAACCAATTGGAATGAAATAAAATATGTTTGTACTCATAATGCATTAATTCATCTTTCCCCGGTTTTCAATTCCACAGGGATACGCTTTGATTTCCTATTTATTAAGGAAGTATAACAGGAAGAGCTAGGGATTTTAGCAATCTTGTAAAGACTAATATAACCATATTGGTATTATCATAAGTATATTTATTTAGGTATGTAGAAAATATTGTGTTGCTTCAGGTTGCTTCCCTTAGTCATCCTGGAACAGCTTTGCATTAACAGTATAATTTAGCTGTTTTTTGAAATATTGCCATCTGACATTCCATTACATGCTATTTCATTTTATGTTAAATATGTCTTAAATAGGGAGCTAATGTGTACCCTTCTCTTATTTGCTTAAATTTTGGTTTACCAATTGCATTTTGTTTCTTAAAGAAATACTTAGGAAAAAAAATTCCTGCAACCTGTGCTAATAGAGCTATTTACAAGAATAAATTCTTGTAAATAAATAAAATAAATTCTTAAGGCAGAGAAAAGCCCATTGGGCATAGGCATTGGCTTTAGCTTAGGAGCAGGGTCAATAGCACGGGTAAGGATGGGGGCCATTGCTGGTACAGGTTTGGGACCTTTAGGTGCTGTTTGATGGGTGGGGCAAGATACAAAGTGTGGCACTAGAAGGCTTGTATACCAGCCAAAGAATGTAGTCTAATACTTGAACAGCCAGTGCTGATGGACAAGGATATCCTAATTGAATATCAGCTCTGTGTATGTCAAATATTATGTTACATTTTATTAGGGGTTGGTAGAAATGGAGATCTCTGTGGTGTCAAACTACATCTGTTTTTTTTTTTTTTGCCTCCAAGACTGCTGTAGTGTAAGTAGGGGTCTTTGATAGAGGAGGCAAGAGGAGATTCAGCGGGATATTCCTGTAGTCTGGAGTTCTTGTCCATTGTACAGAAGATGGTTTAAAATGCATGGGGTCACCTGCTGGAATAGGATCCAGTAATAGGATCTTAATTAGAATAGTGACACAGAGTGAGAGCAGGAGAAGGAGGGCTTTGGTGGGGCTCTGGGGTGGGACTCTGTGGTGGTTAGTTGCATAGGAAGGCCTCCTCCTAAGAAATTTTTTTTCTGTCTCTAGGAATCTAGCCTTGGGAGGGGTGGTCTCTCCAGAATCAGCATTGTCCCAGAAGACATAGAATCAGAAATGCAGAGAAACTGGAGGCACGATTAATACAAAGGCCACTCTTGGGAAATGATACAAATGTCCGCCTTATCCTTAGAGGTCCTATGAAGGCAGGCAGAAATGTTTTCTTTTTCTTTACTCTTTTTATAGTTGTGGATACTTCGAACACAGCACTCACTAATTATACTGAGATTTATTAGGCCCTTACTATGTGTCTGGCACTATCCTAAAAATTTTACATGCATCGGCCCCATTAGTGTCCACAACACCCTGTGTAGTTTGTAGTGTTTGTGTCCTTGATTTGTAGAAGAGGGAGCAGGAGCCTTGAAAAATGACACAACCAAGTCAAGGTCAAGTAGAACTATGATGTAACACTCATTCTCTGTGCTATATTCCTTCTCCATTTCATTATATTTGGGTTACTTTCTTGTCTGTTGATGTAGCTAGCTTGAGCAGCTCAAATGTTGAATGGTTCTCCTTGCCTGTGTATGTCTGCTCTCCATCACAGAGAAGGCACTGTAGAAACATTTGTGGAATCAATGAGCATAGCTCTATCATCTTTCTCTTTAACTTGGACAGCCTGTTGAGCAGCCAGGTATCTAGTGACAGAGAGAGCTGGCCCAAGGGAGAGGGAACTGTTTTATATTGCATTTTCTGAGAATGGCAACTGGGGAGAAAGACAGGTATGATTCTGCAAATGCTTATGTGTGTTTTGTGGCATTTGTACTTTACCTAATCTGGTTCCACAAGTGCTTGCTATGCAAGAGATCTCCTTGAAGAAAGAAGTACGAGATGTGTGCCATGTTGGGAAAACCAAGTGAATGTGCAAAACGTATTCCAACCCAGACATGTTCATGTGAGGGTGAGCTAGACCTCCTGTTCGTGTCCTATGGAGCTTCCCTAATCATCTCCTCTGCTTTGTCTTTCTCCCAGCTTGCCACCAGTCCTGTTTCAAGTGTTTGGGGAAAAGCCCTCATAACTGCACAGCCTGCAGGCCTTCCCACGTGCTGCTGGATGGGCGGTGCCTCTCCCAGTGCCCTGAGGGCTACTTTAACCAGGAAGGTAGTTGTACAGGTGAGTATGTAACGTGCTGGGGCAGAGTCCCTATACCCAGGCTTTCTCTTCATACCGCAGCCAGACAGTGTAATTAGAAACCTTGTCATACCAGGGACTAGGGTTGGGCTGTAAAGCCTTGTCTTCAGTTTACAGGTGTAGAGGTACAGAGGGAGGGAAAATGTGAGATTCTGTGCTGCCAATAAGGAAGCATGGATGAAGTGAAAAATCAGAGTCAACTTTACCCTAGAGACTACAATTATTTGAATATACTTGGAACTAGGTGTTTTCTTGCCTGGGAGACCATGATCTGAATAAATAACTCCCTCATAAATTAAATAATGATGCTAATGACCTATAAGAACCAGAACTCAGTTCAGCATAACTCTTTGTTCCTATAGCTCATTAAAAATTTTAAAGATTTTTTTCTGATTATTAAAGGAGTATGTGTTCATGGTAAAAGTTCTGAAAATTCAGAATAGGAAAAATAAAAGGATTTGGAAGGTGGGGATCACTTATAATCCCACATACCAAAAGCAACAACACTTAACCTGGTAATATATTTCTTTTCAGTCTTCCTTTTATGCATGCTGTTATTTAGCTGAAACAACATAAGAACTATACCTTTTTGATATTTACTTTTCCCCAAACACTAAGTCATAAACAATTCCCCATATTAGGAAAAACTATATATATATATATACTTTTCATGGATGCCTGCTATTCCATTTTTTCTCTCCCATTCCTTGTCACAAAAGAAATGGAGAAAGGATTTGAAATTTAAAGGTTCAGTACTCAAGGAGGCTAACTTTTTTTTACTTTATCTCTCACAATGTGGTTTTGCTCTGGTTATCTATTGCCACCCCAAATTAGTGGCTTAAAACAATAGATTATTTCATCTTTTTCCAGTTCTGGGAGTTGATGGACTCAGCTTTCTCTTAGGATTCTGTAGGTGGGTTCTTCATTGACATATCATCCTCCTGCTTAGTCTCTTACCTGATGAGGCCTCTTGTGGTTAAGTGAACTTCTTCACAGCCTGGTAGACTTCTTTAGTCAGCCTTCTTAGACACCAGTTCTCTTCCCCTGAAGTGAGTTTTCTAAGAGACCTACTAAATAGAACGTCCATGTTTCTTATAATCTAACCTCAGAAGTCTGGCTGTCACTTCTACTATCTTCTCTTGGTCAAAGCAGGACAGCCCAGGTTTGAGGGTATGAAGGGAGAGACTCCATCCTTCAGTAGGTGAAAGGCTTATACGTACAGTGAGGGATGGGTTTAATGAAGGTCATCGTGGAGACAAACTACTACAGGTTCAAATGCATGTTTATAGGATCAGGCATTTGGCACAGGTAACTATGGTTTTCATCTTCGTTCTTGTGGCTACCACAGAACAGAGCAAGAGGGGAGAGAGGTATTTATTTCCTTTGTTGATGTGTTAGTCCAGCATGTTTTTAAGAGTACCTTTATAATTCAATGACAGAGATTCTGGAAATTGCTAGTTCAGATTAGTGCAGGATTTTATTGGAATTGACAAAATACTAAAATTTAAGCACCTTATTGTAGGACTGTATTTTCTTGTATCTACAGGACAGAAAGAAGACAAAACACATTCTGTTGTGATTTTTAAATTTTATTTCCAAAACTAGATGGCTGAAGCCAGCTAATAGGAAAAAGCTCATTGTGATAAAATCGTATTACATGTGTTTCTGGAGTCAGAACACAGGTAATAAATTTATAAAATATTTTTAAAATAAATTAACATTTGGTAGATTCAGGTAGCCTTAAAGCTCAGAAGAGAAAATTTAGATTGAACACAAATTTAGACAATTGAAGATCAATATTATTTTTATTGTGGATTTTTCTTCCTTTTCGCAGATACCTTTTTAATTTCTTCCTTGATGAGATGCTTTACTTTAAACACTCTATCAAGCCCAGTGGGAGAATGTTTCTGGTTTCTTTGTCATTAGAGTTGTCCTTGAAAGCCATTTCTATCCCTAGGTGCTTTCTTCCTAACTCAGTTGGTTTCTGTGTGTGTAAAATTGTTTCGAGGAGGAAACTCTGTGCAGCTCTAACTCTCCTCTGTCTGCCTGAAGTCAGCAGATGGATGGTACCACCAGCAGCAGGGCACGCAGGTCACTGGAAATATTCTGGTAGGGAGGAAGAACTGGGTGGGGGAATCATCCTGAGAATGTTAGCAGCTCTCAGATAGGCGTTTTCAAAGTCGAGAGCTCTAGGAATGTAAAAGGGGGTTAGTGCTCTCCTTCTAATCAGCAGTTCATTTTCTTGCTTGCTTTTCGTTTCTTTCTTCTTCTTCTTTTTTTTTTTTTTTTAATATAACTCCTTATCTTCTCTGGCCTCTTGCCAGAAGCAAGAGGCAGTTGACTTGACTTGAAATCTGCACCATTGCTTTCCACCAGTCGTGTGCCAGGAAGGAATTCATCAGTTCCAGCAAGCTCTACCCAGCTCCAGTCCCTTGCCTCCCCACCTCTTGGAATCAGACCCGCTTAGGCCTCCTGGTCCTTGGCGGAGAATCCTTAAATCTCCTCGCATGCGCCTGCTCCTGCTGCTGCCTGCTGCCTGCCTTGGCTGCGTCAATGCAGCTGCTGCTGCAACATCCTTTGATTCCTTGCCACCCTTATCTTTATTGCCTACCCCTTCCCGAGGCTCACCTGGTCTTTTGCAGTGTAGTACCTCTTGTTAACGTGGTGGTTTTTCTGGGGAAGACATAGCTTTGACATAATTTTGCTTTAGGAGTTGAACTTGAGATGCAGCTCATGATAACCTCCAGAGAGGACTTTTTTCCCCTGTTCTTCATATTTTCACTAATATTGCTGATAAAATGGACTTTCAAGTTGTGTGAAGAAGGGAAAGCTTGGCTGATGACACAGGCTAATGAGAAGTCTCAGTATCACTTGCTGTGTGTGGATCCCTCTGGGTGCCAGCAATTTCTGAGAAGTAAAATATCTCCCTCTTCTCCCTATCTCATTCTCCCTTTGAAGCATAGTATTTTGGAGTGGGGGACGTTTTACCATTTATCTTTGTGCTTTGTGACTGATTTGAACTTCCTATTTAATCCAGATGGGGATGGTCATTCTCGTTCCCCTGGAAGGTATGATACATTACACAAAATTTTATAGTTCTAAATTCCATATTATGTTTGTGGACAGTATTCTTATTTTTTTTAAGTATTTATTTTTTAGTTGTAGTTGGACACAATACCTTTATTTTATTCATTTATTTTTTTGTGGTGTCGAGGATTGAACCCAAGGTCTCGCACATATGAGGCGAGTGTTCTACCGCTGAGCCACAACTCCAGCCCCACAGTATTCTTATTAATACCAGAAATGCAGTCTCTTGGTCAGGTCTAAGGGAGTGCCTGCCTTGCTCTGGAATCTTCAAAAGATGATTAGAGTTTGAGATTTGTAGAGTGCATTAAATACTTCATGAACTTGCATGTTGAGCTGCTAATTCTATTTCTCCCTTTAGAATGCCACCCGACCTGCAGGCGGTGCCATGGGCCCTTGGAATTTGACTGCACCTCTTGTCACCCTCATGTCACTGTTACCAATGGGAAGTGTAAGACCAGTTGCAAGGAAGAGCAGTTCCTCAATCTCGTGGGGTACTGTGCTGGTGAGTGGAACTTCCTTCAAAGTCCTTGGAAATTGCCAGGCTGCTGCTGGGGCTCTTCACAGGAGGCATAAAAGGCTCTTGTACTTATCCTTTGGGCTCAGATGCTGAACTCTTCTATAGATACTTGTCTCATGTCTGGGAATTCTCTGCACTGCTCGCCTGCAGGCATTTACTAAATATTTGTGGATTCAAATGGAACATCTAATAATACTCCTGCAGGACCTGAAAAACCTTAGAATCTCATACCAAAGAAGAGTGAAAGGATGACTTTAGTACATTTGTATGCAGTTGGCAATATCATTTTAAGACAGCAAAGTGTATTGTCAAAACACTCACTCCAAAGATGGTGTCTCTCTGTCTATTCTGTCTCCCCTTGCTGGGTAGAATCTTTGCCATAACCAGGCATGAAATTTTAAGGAGATTAACCCAAAAGTAGACCAGTTGCCTCAGGAGATGAGATTCTTTTTTTCATTCTCACATTAGAACTCAGATATCAAACAAATAACAAATTAGGAAAGCAAAGAGAAATTTCAGTAACATTGCAGACATCTGCCATTTATATCCATCTATTCATTCACACAACATCAGGAAATCTTGAGTCTCTACTAATGGTCAGATGTTTGGAATACTGCAGAGAAAGCGAAGAAGACAATGAGCCTGTCATCGAACACTTTATACAGATGAATATAATGTTAATGGGTCTGTGTACACGTTTTTACCCTCTTCTTTAAATTATAGGTGAAATTTTAAGAGTTCTGCTTTTAGCAGCTGCAGTGCTACTGGGCAGATGGTAAAGGTGAGGAAGCTGGGACCTGGTAGAATGGGTGCTGGAAGGCTTGTCCTTGGGCAGGACGGACTCATGGCCAGTTGTCTAGGTCATAGTGTCCAGCAGGCACTGGATATCACAGTCTGGTGGTGGGCAGAGGGAAGCAAGTCAGTGGCAGTGTAGCTGGTGGCACCATGGTCCTGGGTGATCCATTCCTTTCTGTACAAGATCTTCTGTACAAGGAAGCTGACAAAGGGAAGACATTGGTGTCTGCCTCCCAAAGGAGAATCTGATGATAGCAGGGGTTGACTGTTATTATAATTTGTAAGCTTGAATTTAGCTACTGAGTCTTATTTTAGGATATACAGGAGGAGCTATTGTGAGAACTAAGAAGACCCTGATATGGTGTGTCAGTCAGCTTTGTGTTACTACAGTGAAATACCTGAGGCAGCCAACTTATAAATAGAAAAGGTTTATTTATTTTCAAGTTTTGAAGGTTGGAGGTCATGGCATTAGCTTCACTTCCATTCTGGTGAAGGCCCTTCTCTCAGCTGCATCACATCATGGTGAAGTCATGTGTGTACGTTAGAGCTTATATTACTAAATAGGAAGTCAGAGGGAACAAACTTCTACTACTTCCCAGTAGCACCACCCTGGGGACCAAGGCTTCCATCACAAAGGGTCTTTGGGGGATCCAAACCATATTAAAATCATAGCACATGGTTAAAACACATTAGTAGTTAAGTATTGAGGACCCACCAAGCACAAGTTACTTGGTTGCTGTGTGAGGGAGCACAGAGACCCTTCAGCCTTCTTAAGGAGATGAACTAAAGACTCAGAAAACGAATCGTATAAAGAAATGTATGTTCAGTAACATTTATAGGCAGTAAAGGTTGTAGGAGTTCAATAGAAAGATATGCAACAAGACATGGAAGGCATCACACAGGAGAAGAAGAGCAAGGATTCAGTTAGAGGGAGGTCAGGTGGGCTTTTTGATTCCTCCAGGAGAGAGGCCTAGAAGCTAAAGCCCAGAAGGATGTTCATGGCCAGTGAGTCATCCAACCAGAGTGAAGAACATGATTGGCATTAAAACATATTAAATGAAAGTGTTGGAAAATTGAAATTGGAAGCAGAATATTAAAAAATCCAGAGTTTTGGGCAAAATAGTGTGGACTGATCTTATAGGTGATAGGGTTATGAGAGTTTTGCAGAAAACTGTTCCTTGACTAAAGGAGTGTTATGGGCAAGAAATCTGCAAGCTGTGTGAAAGATGGACAAGGAAAGATCCGCATCAGGGAGAAGAATGAGAAGGTAGTACCAAAGCTACATCCTTAATGATGGCTTATTCTATTTCCAATCTATTTTCATGTGGACCCTAAAAATTTTATACTGGGACATATTTTATAAATAAATGTTTATATAAGGATATTGGAAATTTTTAATTTTTAATGAGCTCTGTTCCTGCCAATGTCCAGAACACTCTTTGATAGTAAATTAGGTGGTTAGGAAATGCATTAATTTTTTAAGGCTAATATGGGACCTTTAGAATCATGGGACTGAGTTAAATGATTCTGTGAGTCCCTAGTCTTAGAAGATCAGGTCCCATTAATGTGAGCAGGAAAAGCAAAGACTGGCTGACAAGGGAATTAAGTGTACTAAAAAAATGTTTTAAAATAAGATAGCCATCGTCTGGTGCTTGGGAATCATTTATTCGGTGAAGACTGGTGGAATAGTATTTGTTATAGAGAAGTTTGAGTAGTAATTTCAATTGTTACTTTTAGAGAAATGCATTGAGCCCAAGGCTTGTTCTTTTACTAAATATATGCCTTTTCTAAACACTTCTCACTCATCTGTAGCATTGTAACACATTCATCCTTTTACCAATTCATTGAGCATTTATTAAACATAAGTGCCATGGCAGGCTGAGCTCTGTGCTAGGCTCTGGGGGTGCAAAGATGGAACTTGAATTCAAGAAACTTAGTTTAGTGACAGAAGGAATATTAGTCTTCTAGGGTTGATATAACAAAACACCAGTGGCCGGGTGTCTTAAGAGAAAGATCTGTGGAAGATGGTTTGGATGAGGGCGGAAAGACCTTAGGAGGTAGTTGCAGGAATCCACATGAGAGATGAAGACATTTATTGAGAAAATTGATGAGGGAATGGAAAAAAGAAATCCTGGCTTTTCTAGACCAGACGTCCAAGATCAAAGCCAGCAGGGTTGGCTTCTCCTGAGGCCTCTCTCCTTAGTTTGCAAATGGTTGTTTCCTTGTTGCCTCCTCACGTTGTCTCCCTCCTGCCCTCTTTTCTTATAAGATTGAATTAGGATCAGACTCTGAGGCTTATTTTAACTTAATTATCTCTTTGTTGGTCCTATATCCAGCCGTGACGACATTCAAAGGTTCTGAGGTTTAGGACTTCAGCACACAGATTTGTGGAGGACACAGTGCCCATAAGAGAGGAGGGTATTGATTAGTATGATGTTGCTGTGGTACTCTGTCCACGGTACAGGATCCTTGATAAACCTGCAAGACAGGACCCCAACCCAGACTAGAATGTCTATATAAGGGGGTGTGAAGGCTTTCTGGAGCATGTCACAACTGATTGGAGTTTGAAAGGTAAGAATTAGAGGAACATGAAGTTTTGAAGAATAGAGCAATCCAGCAATTCCAAAGAAGATACCTACTTAGTCATCCATGAAGACTTAAGTAGAATGTCAGTCCTGGGTGTGGGAAGCATGGGACTTGAAGTGGAGGGAAGCAGGGCAGAGCAGAAAGGCTCTACTCAGTTTAAGAACATGCTCTGTTATCCAGGCAGTGGTGAGATTATCTCTCAAAGGCTTTAAGCAGGAAGTATCATGGTGCAAGTGAAAGATCTGTGGAAGACGTCTTGGGAGATGAGACTAGGACAGAATCACCATTGGGAAGTAGTTGCGGAATCCACATGAGAGATGAAGCTCTTCATTGAATGAGCTGCTGAGGAAATGAAGGGAGGGAGTCCTGCCTTCGTTGGCTGTGACTTTAGGGTAATCTGTACACGTTTGCTGCTTTGTGGGCAGAAATAACCAAGAGTGGCAATTTCTTTTAGACCTGATGATAACAGAAGAGGGTGCTTTATAGATGGTTCCCAGGTTTCAGGTCATAGAAATTCAAGGGATGGGAGTAGATAGATGTACCACAGGTAGGAATAGGTGTAACACAGAGTGAGGAAGACTGTGTGTTTGAATTTAGACAAGTTGAACTTGGGGTGACAGTTGGACTTCCTGGGGCAGCTGTTCAGGAGCAGACTGAAGGGACAAGTGAATCGGTTTCTTCTTGCAGCCACCAGGAACTTGTCTCCTATCTTAAGTTGACCCTGAACCTTTCTTCTGGAATTCTATTTTTTAAACTGAAGTGTTGCCTTATTTGGGTTGTAGTTAACCTTGTGGAAAGTTCAGATGAGTTTTATCTAAACTCAGGAAGGTGTCAGGAGGAGCTATGTGATGACAGAATGGGGGATCATCCACCCTGGGCCGTGTCATTAGTGGAGCGTCCTTCAGTGTCCTTGAGAAGTCCTAGCTCATTGGAAGGACTCTCTGCTCTATGGTGAGCCTTACAAGGTGGTGGGATTTACCTGCGGGACTTATTCACTATCTGAGCTGTACCCCAGATCATCATTGGAGACCTCTTAATCACACTTAGCTGTTTAAAAAAGAAAATTACATCTAATCTATCACACAGACAAGAGTAAACACATCCTGGGAACAGGTCCAATAACCTCAATGTGTTCTCACATATGGAGATGTCATATGTTTGGGATTTTTTTCCTCTAAGTCTATCAAAGAAAATATATGGTTAGTGAGATTTAGGCCTGGGCTGAGGGTTTTCAACAAAGATAAATGAACTGGGGTGAGAGGCAGGAGTGCATAACATTGAGATAGACATGGTTAAGTACTATGGAGAGCCAGGGTTTTTCTTCATAGATTTTTTTTTTTCTCCCACATCTCAATATTATCAAAAATTTCCAAAGCCTGGGGTGCTTTATCCATTTATCATTTGTAGCTAAAAGCTTTCTCCTGTTCATAGAAGTGGGTGAAATTAAAAAGAAAACACAGATAAAAACCTGAGGGGGAAATGTCAAATGCAGATGCATTAAAAAAAATAATAATATCTTGGGCTCTCTGGATGCCTAATGGGATGGCTATACATTTTAGTTCTTGTGGGAAAAGGTAATAATTCTGAGAGAACAATATTGCAGA